ATGGTTATGTCCTGCCCACTGACACCGCGTCGCTTCCAACCGCAGCAACAGCATGACCCGAGAAACTGCCTCAAAAGGCGCGCCTACCGTTGTTAGCCGATGGGAGGGGAATATTCCCCCAGCCGATTCCTTCCAGACTAAGGAACTGGGCGCCGAGCCCGTTACGGTCTAGGGGTTCAAAGGCTGGACCCCCGAGGGTTTCGATAGCCGCCCCAGGACGATAGAGTCAGGGACAGCTATGGGCGAGCCCGTACATGGCCGAGGCCCGAGCAAGTGATCGCTTGGGATGCCCTAAGTCATGTCCGAGACCAGCGGGGAGTTCTCCGAATGGGATCCCACCGTAGGGAAGCGCCGAGCCCCCAAGGCCAATCGAACGGCCCTGGGACCCACTAGAGAAGCCCTCTGGTACTTTTGGAGTGCATCTCTGGACCACTAGCCGACCCCTATCGAATGGGGCACGGGCCTCCACTCAGACTTACCCGATAGCAGCTCACCGGAAGTGTCACCGCTCGCGCCCATCGAGGGTAGCCTGGCATATTCCACCCCTCCTTCTGAGCGAAAAGGATGCGCGAGGGTCGCATAAAAAGCTAGGGGAACTCCTGACCGCCCTCTCGCTATTTTTTTTGCTTCAGCTCTACGAACAGTTCCACCGGTGGAGCTGAAGCGGTTTTGGTAAACCGTTTGGCAAAATAGCTTCCCTGTGAGAGCATGTTTTTAGGGGCTTGGAGGAGGAGCCGGGAGAAGCCACTTTTTTTGGCTCCATCTCACCCCAAATCATTGTGAGAGCATGTTTTTAGGGGCTTCACCAGTGAAGCTATTTTACTTTACCCCGTTTGGCAGAAAACGGTTCCAAACGACTCCTGAAGCTGGTGGAGAAGCCCTGCCAAATGGGGCCTTAAAATTTGGATTCACAATCTATGCTGTGTGCAAAACTGCAAATTGACTTGTTACTCTTACTCATCTACAGCGCTGGTGACCTTGTTGGAAGAACAAGTGAGCCAACCATCAAGAATTGGCTGGAGGGATCAGATGGCGCCGGGAACATCAGAGTTGGAAGCCTCAACTTCTCTGTCTTTGATAAATGTAATTCAGCAGAGTAGTATGGAGAGCAATGAGGGTTCGTCAGAACCTTATGCACCATTGTCGGATACCACAAGAAGGGGTACCCTAAGCAAGAACCGAAAATATTGCTTAAGCCTTGCAAAAATCAAAGCCAAAGGACAACCACGAGGTCTCGGTAGATTCTTCGATTCGCCCGAGGCTTGCGCCGAGGCCTCAGACGAAAGGCCAAAACTCTCCGCCCCACCGAGGCCCTCTCGCCGAGGCCCCACCCCGCAAGGCCTCGGACGGGATACCAATTCTCCGATTCGCCCGAGGCTGGGCTCGGCAACAACCTCGTCACCTCCGTCCCGACCGGCTCCTCTGACAAAATATCACGTCCAGTTAATGCGCCCAACTACTCCCGTAACGCAAGCCGCACGTTGGCGCAGTACAGGCAGAGTGATCGACGGGACAGGGGACCGGGCGCAGCAGGGATTACCTACCACTGTGCTCATCACTGTGCCCCCTGCTGACACCCGTACTGCCCTGTGCTACCTAAGTCCTGCGCCAAGGACAAAGCGGCGTGGAGGGTCAAGTTCGGGTCCCTGTAGTCTCGAAATCAGCATGAAAGACCAACTGCTCATCCTCCGCTTCGTTCGAGACCCCCCGGTAGGGCCTCGGATGTACTATTCCTTCTTGGCCTCGGCCGAGGCCGGGCTCGTCCCGCATCCTCGTCGCCTCCGCCTCAACCGTCCCTCTGGCGAGCCATCCTATTCGTTTAAGTGCGCCTGGTCACACCTACTACGACAGCCACGACTGGCAGGGTACCGCAACGGGAGCGATGGGACAGCGGTCAAATCTCCTTTTTACCATCCCCTACTGACGGTACAGGGGTTACCGTGCCCTGTGGACACACGCTCCGCACTCTTCCACCTAAACTAGGTACGACGCTGACCATGAAGACCCCCGCATCACACACGGGTCACCTCCGAGGCCTCGGCAAAGCAGGCCTCGGCACGATCAGCTACAGCACCCGCCAGGCCTCGGCACTCCATCAAGTGAAGAATCGACAAGGCACGGCATGTCTCCTACAGTGGAGGCCATACTGACTAGACGTCAACAAGGACTTCCACGACCTCAACAACCTCAAGCCTGGCCAGCACGGCGCGCTAGTCAAGTACCGATCGCCATTCCCAACACCATGCTGTTACAGGACTGAACTATAGTAGGCTCCACATGTAGCTCACTCATGTACTCCTGGCTCCCTCCTTGTGGTTATAAAAGGAAGCAGCCAGGGATAGCTCTAGGGAGGCAAAAAACATACTAAAGAACCACGCTCTCACACACGCGCAAGCGACACTCTGTAACACACGCTCTCCCATGCTGCCTGAGAGCAACGTCTCAAGCAGCCCACACCGTTCCACGCCGAGACCTGGGACTAGCTCCCTCTCTCACTCAGCTTGTAACCCCCTACCATAAGCACTTCGGTGCAAGGAATACAAGATCGATCTCTTAGACTGGACGTAGGGCATCAATTGTCTGAACCAGTATAAACCTTGTGTCTCTTTGCATCACCATCCGGGATTAGGGGCACGCAGTTCAAGAAAATACTAAATGCATATATAAAAATATTTAAAATGTTGATAGACATTATACACTTATGTATATATAGTTATCACACTTAGAGGTGTCATCTCGTTGTTCAGTCATCCTTAAATATTAATTGCTAGTTCCGACACTGAATCAAGCAAACTGTTATGGTCTATATATATCGACAGTTATACTTACTGTTGTTAAAATCTCGTGTGTGTGTGTGTGTGTGTGTTTGCTTCAAATTTATGATTTCGTGATCATATCTAGAGGGTATATAATTCTATAAATCTGATCTGACATAAAGACCTCCGATTTGATTTAGAATTTATGTTTTTTTAAAGGTAAAAACGCCTGCCAAATTGGCGGTAACGTTTGATTATATAGTGGCTACATGTTGGGCTGTGGGCCGTGTCTGTAGGATCTAGTCCTACCAGGCCTAGTGGTAACGCATTCCATGTCCGACTGTCCGTCACGATACCAATTTCACTGTTTTTTTTAAGAGAGAGACTCCACTGTTACTGTATCACAAGACGTGCGCCACGTACTGTCCCAGGCCACAGTGTGGGGCTGTGGGCTGGGCTTAATTTGCACGGACAAGACACTTCGCCGTGAGGAAAGGTCCTGTGATTTCGACTCCTCACAATCGCAAGGCTTGACCATGAACTGAACGCATGCATGGGCTGGAGTTGGGCACCCGCGGGCCGCGGCCGGCGCTGACAAATCTGGGATTGCCCGCCTACCTGAAGCCGCCGCAAACCAACCGGTGGGCGGTGGAAGTGGAACGCAACGCAAGGGGCGGGCAAACAGCAAGGACGGCGCGCGCGTGATAACTGACAGCCCCGCAGCGAACCAACTCTTGTGGAGGCAGTGGGCACGGCCCACGGGGCCAAGGACGTACGATCCCGATCCCGTGGCCGAATCCGCGAGACCTGCCGTCCGAGCCGCCCCGCCCCGGCCCACCGGCCGTGTCACCAGGACGTCTGTCTCAGCGTTGGTGGCCCGCGTCCTTTGCACCACCAGCATCATATATCACCTTGCCCCACGGTGGGTGTTACTGTTCCTAACAAAACCTCGTCACAGGGGAGGAGGAGGGGGAGCCGGTCAGCCAGCAGAGGGCCAAGCGCCCGGCACAAGGCAGGGAAGGCGCGGGCCTGTGATTGCACGGTATGTGGGCGCCCACCGAGCCTGACAGGGCCAGGCGTCACTGTCGAGGATTCACGCATCTCGAGGCGTATCTCACGCATCCGGAGGGGTCGACGCCGTGCAACCTGAAAAGGCTACAGCTCCGTCACCAATCACCCATTCATGCCATCTCCAGTTTTCCACCAACCGGAGGAAGCGAGGAGTGAGGGCGGTGCTCCAGCTGTATTTGACATGCGGGAACTTTTATCTATCTTTACATTTTTACCGTAAAACTATACTAATTTTCATAAAATCCTTGTATGGTCTTTATCAAATCCCCGTGTTCCAAACATGTTATTATATATAGATTTTCCTCTCTTTTTTCTCATACTCCCTCCATCTCTAAAAAAAAGTTATTCTCGTTTCCAAAAAGTCAACAACTTTTAAATTTAACCAAATTTATTTAATAAAATATTAATATTTATGGTACATAATTAATATTATTAGATATACAGTTAAATATATTTTTATAATAAATTTATTTGAAAATATAAATGATATACATATTTTCTATCAATCTTGTCAAAGTTAAAAAAATTTGATCAGCAGACTATTTCTCAAGGGACAAAGAGGAGTATATCGTATGGATAGGTAATTGATTGTGCTCTAAAACTGCGCGTCCCATGTTGTACGGCAGGACACTTGGAACGACCGGTGGTCATGGCCTCATAGACACACGACCGGTAGCAGGGTGGCCGTGCAGGGGGAGGGAAAGCTTTTCACCGTAGGGCATGTCCAAACGCCCAAAATCCAGAATATTTACACATTTATCATCATGGTGATGGGAGTGATAAAAAAAATATTACATCAGTTACTCATGCATTAGTGATATAATGTAAAATGTCATCCGTAATAGTGATAAATATGTAAATGCCCCACCAAACCCTAGCCCTTTTACGCCAAAAACAAGTCGCTGCCACTGCACTGCACCTTGCCTGCCTAAATGTTACCGCAAGGAGCGAACTGAGACGTCTTTTCCTTTTCTCTTGCGGTCTCGCCAGAGGAGAGGAAGGAATCCACAGCACCAAGCCCCATTCATTCTTCCACAAAAACTCTCTTTCTCTCTCACCTCGGACTCCAAATCTCCAACAGCACGCTTTCCTCTCAGTAGAGTGAGTAGCCTCTCTTAAACCCTAGCGAGCTGTCACCTGGAGCTGCACGCGGCCTCTAGCCTGTGGTGGGCAATGTCGACGTTCTTGCCCCCGGCGCCGCCGGCGCCAGCTCCGCCAGCGCTCCTGGTGCCGGTGGCGTACGCTACCGGAGGCGGCACGCCCGTGGGAGCGGCAGGGAGAGGGTCGTCGTACGGCCCGGTGATCGCCATGCTGGCCGTCGTGGCCGTGCTGGCGGCCGCCGCGGTGGCCGTGGGGCGGCTCTGCTTCGGGCGCCGTGCGCAGGGCCACGCCGGCGGCGGCGCCCACGACCTGGAGGCCTGGGTGGAGCGCACCTGCGGGCCCTGCGTCGGCGCCACCGCGCTCGTCCAGGAAAGCAGGGAGGAGGGAGGCGGTGCCGCCGCCGGTGGTGCTGGGGCCGCGGCGGCGACGGAGCTGGCGCTGGCGCCGGAGGGAACAGAGCGAGGGGAGAGTGACAGCAGCGCGTAGCGTGGCGTAGTGATACGAGCTGAGCCTTGTAAATTGTCTCCTCATCAGAACTTGAAACACGCATGTCCTGCAAGTTGGTGTTGGAATTATTTTGAATAGCTATTTAGCCATGCTCGTTTCGTTGAGATTTAGCTTATGCTGATTTATCGTGAAAAAAAATATTGTTTATTCGCTGAAAAATACTTCTGAAATGAAATAGCGCTAGAGAACATACCCACTTTGTAAAGCGACAATGAATGATGGTGTTGGCGACGCTGTTGAATATGCACAACGGAATGGATTTGATGTTTTGGTTTACGGCCTGTTTGGTTTGCAAAATTTTTGGCGAAATATTACTGTAGTATTTTCGTTGTTATTTAGCAATTAGTGTCTAATTGTAGTCTAATTAAGCTTAAAAGATTCGTCTCGTGAATTTCATCTAAATTGTGTAATTAGTTTTATTTTTTATTTATATTTAATGCTTCATGCATACGTTCAAAGATTCGATGTAACGAAGAGTCTTGAAAAATTTTGTAAAATGAAGTGAACATATACTGCCCATTCTTGCTGCCTTGCTGGACGCGTTTTCCCTTTCCTCGTTCGGGTAGAGTGGCTAGCGCTAGCCAGCTAGCAATGGGTGACAGCCTGCTGTGCAGAGCGCCACATGCATGAGACGAGGTCATAGGGCACAGTGTTGACTGTCCTGGATTGCACGGAACAAGAATCAGAATCGCCACGAAGACAAGGAGTACTGGACATCTCTAGCTTCCATTGTTCCAGATGATTCGTTTTACGTTTAGGTGAACGCAGTCACCACTCACCATTCACCATTCACCGATACGCGTTAACTCCATGCATGCGATAGTCTGAGAACGACTTGGGACTGGGACTGGAAAGGGTGGGTGGTGCAGCTGAAAGACGAAGAGTTGAAGTGGTTGGAGCCTTCGCCTCCCTCCAAAGGCTCGAACCGCAAAAAGGCTACATTTGACGCAGTTCAAATGGTTTGTGATTGCAGCAGCAGTGGAGAATTGAATGGCAGGTCCCACTCCGATCCGGTGAGTACCGTGGTCCCTGTTACCTTTTGGAGTGCAAGAATCGATCGATCCAGCGCAGCCCAACTCAGCCTGTTTGTTTAGCTGTGGCTTATCGTAAATGATCGTAAGTTTTTAGCTGGAATAGTTTTTTTTCTCACATAAACTAGCCAGCAGTACTTCTTCACGAATCAGCAACGATACAAACCAGCTAACCGGCTTTTTCTGAGTTCTGACCTCTAGCTAGGCTTTTGACACCCATCCCGTAGTTCGGTAGTTCAGTTTCAGGTCTGTAAATCGAAGTACTAAAAATCATATAACTCCAAGTATGATTGGACATACATGTAATTATCTCTTTTTTTCCGTTTCTATCATCTAATAAAAATTACAGCAAAGCTTTTCTGTTCTTTCTTTTAAAAAAAAGTATGATTGGATGAACACGACAATATGATTACCGTAGTAGTATACTACTACTATAGTTTTAGTAGTATAGCGTAGCAGTATACTTCCCCCATCGCATTCAGAGAAGGTATATATTAATATTATTACAGACAGAGCGCGTACTATGCTTCGCCGTGCATGTACAAGGCTCCAAGCCAGATATATATAAACATGATTACGGTACCATTTAGCATGATTGGTTTGAGCGTGTTTTCTAGCTTACCATTTGAGCATCGAACGTACGTACCCTTTGCTATAGTCCGTTGGATTGGATCATTAGTGTTAAACAAACTAGGAATATAGAACACATCGCTCTGGAGCTTAGCAATGAGCTTAGTGTTAAACAAAGGCCGCTGTTTTACAGCCTGTTCGGCTGGGGCTGAAACGATTGTATATGATTGTAAATTATTACTGTTAGCTGGTTTGGTGTGAGAGAAAAATATTATTCTGACTAAAAATTTACGATCATTTACTACCAAACGAACAGATCGCTTTCTGGAGCTCGGGAAAGCGGAGGGAGGGAGGGAGTACTTGCCTTTTTGAACGGTTGCTCCTCCAGCAGCCCGTGAACGGCCAAGGCGAACCCACCCGGGCCGGCGCCATTTCGGCACCAACAGGTTGCACAGCAGTAATTGGTACTTTTCTCCTTGTCTATCAGTTCAAATTGAAGCCAAAGCTGCCTCATAGAGTCATAGGAGTACTAGCGAACAGTACTTTTCTTAGAGCAAATTGCAAAGAGAGTTGTATTACTCGAGTCATGTGATGAGTACTAGTAAGACTGTAGGAGTATATAGAGTACTCGTCGTAGTAGTAGTAATTGAGGCCCCGTTTAGATCCAAATTTTTTTTGATTTTGGCTACGGTAACACTTTTGTTTGTATTTGATAATTAGTGTCTAATTATGGATTAATTAGGTTTAAAAGTTTCGTCTCGCGATTTCTCACCCAACTGTGCAATTAATTTTATTTTTCGTCTATATTTAGTACTCCATGCATGTGCCGCAAGATTCGATGTGACGGTACTGCGCAAAATTTTTTGGAATCTAAACGGGCCCTGAAAGGTCCTGGGCCCGCCAGCCTGCAGTTAAACAGCTGCATATATATTCAGTCAGAAGACAAGCTGGCAGGCCCATGGAGGGCCCTGAGTGTAAGCAAGCGCCGAGGCCGGTGAATTGGATCGGGGCCGGCCCGTGAAGGCGATTCCGATGCTACTAGGAAGGACCAGCATCCAGCAGTGTTGGGTCAGGGCGACGTCAGGAATGCAGCAGGGCCCGGCCAGGAAGTTTTGTCTGGACGCCATGCATCCAGGCATCATCTGGTCCAGCCTCGGCCTCTCTTCCCTTGGGCGTTTTTTTCTTCTTCTTTTGCAATTTTTTTTGTGCGATCTGTCATCGCATCGCTGGCTCAGCAAATCCGCCGGTTGCGGTTGGTGCTCGGAAAAACATGAGCTAGCTCCATGTGTGTCGACCCTCCAGGCCCGGATACGCGAAGGCAGGCGCCGGCAGCCCGGCATACTTGCAGGCCCGTGTTGCTCGATCGGGACCAAGGCGTCGCGAGCATGTCCACCTGTCTTTCTTCTTGTACATCATGTAGCAGCGACATTCATTCAGCTATCACGTGGACTGCCGGTCCTAATCTGAATCCGGATCTCTCCTCTGTCCAAATTTATGTACAAAGTTTCATTTCAATGTGCTATGGATGGACGCTTTTGCATGATACACGCTGACACCTTTTGAGCATCTTATTACTCCCTCGGTTCCAATCAAAATGCAATATTCTTAGTTACCGAAGAGTCAAAAGAAAATTTAAGTTTAACTAAATTTATGTAAAAAAAATATAAACATTTACAAAAACAAGTAAGTATCACTAGATTAATTATGAAATATATTTTTATAACAAAACTTATTTTACGATATAAATATTGGTATTATTTTCTATAAATATAGTCAAACTTAAAAAAGTTTAATTTATCCAAAATTTAGAATTGTATTTTTTTCAACAGAGTATCGAGCAAAGACAACAAAAATACCATAAGCTTTTCTCTTTTTATACAAAGATAATCATTTTTTTTATAGAATTAGCATCGGAGCAAGAACATGCTCCGCTCCGAATTTTACAAGTGCCCAAACGAGAGATTTGGGCGTCATTTTCAATCTACTAGCTGTGGTCAGCGCGTGCCGGGACGCTTTCATGCCGAATCGGCGATCAGTCGACAATAATCAGGACGTAGGCTGGACCATACTGCGTCCGACACAACGCGCAGGCCAGGTGCGTGCGCAACGCAACCCCCGCTGCCCCCGGCACGCCACACCACCCGGGAAGCTTCGCTGTTCGGTTGGTGTGGTACACGTCATCTGTCAGCAGCCACGAACGCTGGTGCACACGCCATCCTGTCTCGAGGGACTGATCGGTTTTGGAATATGTTCGAGCAGGAAACAACATGCATGGTGCTCATTCCTGCATTTGGCATGGGATCAAATAATCAAGTTCCATGATAGTTTCAATCCACCCGATCTGACCAGTTTACAGCAAATATAATACGACAACATATCAGGTGCAAACCAACCAATCTATGTAAACTTAGAAAATACCAATCAGATTCACTAGATGTTAATCCAATGGATGGGGCGAGGGAGCTTAAGCGCAAAAAAAAAAAAAAGACCGGCGGGTGGGGGGCTTAAGCGTAAAAAAATCCCAACTCTCACCCTATCTATTGGATCAGTCATCTAGTGGTCCTGATTGGTAGTTTTCAAGTTTACACAGGTTGATTGGTTTGCAACTGATACGTTGCGATATAATATACCTCAATCAACAAAAAAAATCCTCGCTAAACTAATCTGTTTCTAAACAGCCCAATTCTATGTACGGCGGCCTAATAACCCTCTCCACCTCCTCCACGTACGGATGGGATCAGCGCTCAGCGGGAGGAGCCGACGGCGAAGTGGCTGTGCGCGTCGAGCGGCACGAACGCGAGCGCGAGGAGCACGGCCAGCAGGCCCACGGGCACCAGCAGCAGCAGGAACGGCGGCGGCGACAGCGGCGGCAGCACGAGCGGGAGGAACGCCAGCGACACGGCCACGAACAGGAACGCCAGCACCAGCTCCGCCGTGAAGTAGCCCGGCGGCGTGGGCGGCACCGGCACCGCCTGCTGCCCGCGGCTCGTCACCGTTCCCTGCGGCCGGCCGCGGTGCTGCTTTTGCTGCTCGACGGCACCGTGCATTGCGCCCCGGAGGTGAGGATCGCTTCTCCTCCTCGCCGGCCTCCGGTGGTCCATGGCGAACGGATGATGAGGCTGTACCGCGGCTGGTGCTTGTTGCGACGGGATCAAGAACCAGGGTTGATGAGCCTCAGAGCTGACGGCCACAAAGCTCATTCAGAATTTCAGACAGCCAGTTGATCTCTCCGATCAGCAGCAGAAGGGAAGCCAATAGATTAGCTAGTCCAAGAATAAGAAGGGAAGGCTGCCAAAGAACGGGAGCTCAGGTAATATACAAGTCGGGCGGCTGCTTGGTTGCTAAGCAGGCGCAGACGCAGCCGCAGCAGGTTCGTTGAACGACGCGGAGCCGTGGCAGGGCATGTGCTTTGACCGGAGCTGTACCCGCGGAACCTCGTATTCCATGAACCGTCAGACGGCAGTGGGTCGTCGTGGCCGTACGGCGGGTTGTGTGAGAGGACAGGGAGATCGGCTTGGGGATCACGAGGGGTTGCCCGAGAGATCCTGGACCCCGGCCGGCCTTTTCGGCCGGGTGCCGGTGCGGGTGCGCTGTATGTGGGCGGCGGTGCAGACGTGACGTGCAGCGCTCAGCAGGGGTATGAATACGAATGAACTGCATGCATTTCAGGAACGGTGGTGGCAGGAGTGGTCGGTCGTCGGCGTGATGGTTGCGTTTGCGTTGGGGTCTTTCGTCGGCGTGGGATGCCGGCGCGTGGTCGTTGGTCGCCTTTTGGCTTGCTCAACCTCACCAACCTCGCGTGCCGCGAGCCGGCCGACAGGTTCGGCGTCGGGCGGCTGCCTGCAGGTTCAGTGTTCCATTCCACTGTTTGGAGAGTTCGTTCGTCCCCCATGGATGAGGACAACAATACAACATAGTACGGAGTACTGCCTGCCTGCCGTCCGTCGCAGTATGTATGTACCCGTCCGGATGATGTCCCTTTTCTACTTATGGATGCTGATAATCATGCATGCACGATGCATCCGAGTGGCGGAGCTACATCAAATTTAAAGAGGTACGCTTGCTTCATGGATGCGTAGATTTTTATCGTGAATGTACTAATATGGTGAAAATTTAGACATCATCGCTGTTTTTTCAAAAAAAAAAATTGGGTGCGGGCACACAAACAGCTCACTATATAGATCCGCCCCAGATCCATCCGAGACTGGTTTGCCGATGCTGATTACCCGAGCGGTGGAGGGATTAGATTTGATTTTCAGGACTCCGTCTCTCCCAAAATAATATCAATTTCTATGCGCTAAACTATCTTATATTTCAGGTGTTTGAATTTCAAGTTGATTTCAGGCGTACTACCAACTAATACAAGTAAATTATAACTTTTGTTATTTGTTGTTTGTCTTTGTATCATAACACATTAAATTTTTGTCCTTGTCTTACTATACAAATAATTATAAATTGTTAATTGTCTTTGTGCCAACACAAATCAGATTTTATTGGATTTTTAGTTTTGTCTAACAGTTTTTTTATTCTCGGTACCAAAAAATTGCGGATTGCGCCTACAGAAATTGTAGTGAACTGAATCTGTAATTTTATTATAAAATATATGCAATAACATGTGGCAGAACCGCCTAATCTAATGCCCTCCCAAAAATACTTGTCTTTCATTAGACACTAAGTACCTAAGAGAGTGCACTAAATCGTGTTGTTCCGTCGAGCACACCCCAAGGGAGAATTCGAAAATCCATATTTTTCCATCAGGATCATAAATGAGAGAATAAAGCTTACAACATTCTTAAACCATTTCTTACATCATTTTATTACAGTAACAGAATATTACCTCAATTGATTACAACAACGGAATATAACAATGTTATCAAAGTTACAAAGAAAACAAAGATTAATTTAATAATATGGTGGAGCATTAATATAGTGGACATTTCTATACAAGAGATCCTAGCATATTTTACATCTTTTCTTATAAAAACCTTTAGTGAGGGTTATAAATAAACACTACGGTCGTAGCGTGAAAGGAATCCTCTCTGAGCCCATTAGGAGGTTTCCACACACAAGAGTCAGCTCTAAGTATTCTCCGATCACCTGCAACAGGGGGAATAAACCCTGAGTACTCGATTATACTCAGCAAGACTTACCCGACAAGAGGAAAATAAAAGACTCCAAGAATATGCAATGTTTATTTAGCTTGTGGGTTATTGCATCTGCGGAAGCATTACTAAACGTGCGTCCTTATATGTAATTTTATTAGCAGTCATTATTAGTTCATTAACTAACCATTCTATGTAAGCACCTATGCTACTTTCAAACAGGTGGTAAGCAATCTAAACCATTTTATCACCTTTCAAGTTTCAGTTCTTACTACGGTGTTAGACCATAGCCAAGTCGTACCGTATCACAGAAACGGCGATTCGTGAATCAATGTATCATAGTTGGGTATCCCGAAACACACGTCCCGTTTGTACCCTAGGCACAAACAAGATCAACCCATTCCACTCCTGTCATGGGATCCAGGTCCCCGTCCAAATTTGAACTCCAAGCCCCCACACTTGAGACAGTCTCAATATGTTGCTTAGATCTCCACATTTCCTCGCCCCCAATCAGTCGGTCCAGAAATAGCCGGAACCCACGACAAGAGCGTAACGAGCCTTCCCGCTCTCATAAGTATGTGCTCGGGATAATAAGTCTGTGACCTGACTACCATCCACAGCAACGGACGACCCTCAATCGATACAGGCGGAATAAGTGCAATCTGAGCCTTGCTCGAATGCATAACTAAGTCCAGATCTAAAGTATCATTCCGTCCGGTCTCCAATTATCATCCTGATATATTTCCTATCACATGTAATATATATATATATATATATATATATACATGTGATAGTAATATGATAACAACAACAATAATATATTTCCTATCTCTCGCAAGTGACAGATAATCACTCGACTTCTACCGAATCCTATAGCATAGCAATCTACATGATCCGTATATACTAGTAGGACTCATAGGATAAGGATATATATATATATATATATATATATATAGTAGTTTTCATTCAACTCCTTAAAACTTAATGCACAAGCATAAGATAAAGTGCAGAATAATAGGGGTTATACACCGGGGCTTGCCTGGGTAAGATATAACCAAAAGTTAGCATTCCATCATAGTGACACGATCATCAAGGCACCATCTTTTCTGCTACTTTGGTCGTCACCACGATCCATTGTTGTTCCTATTATGATATACATGAATGCAACGTAGAGACGTAAATAATCAACGGCAATCGATCTATTAGAAATACGATTACGCCTCACAAGCTAACGAGATAGCTCTAATAACTAACGTGCTAGGCTACGTATCCATGTTGTCGAATAAGATGTTGTTTCCCAACAAGTGTTTTAGTTCTAAACTCTCAAGGTGTTTCAGCATTTTATTGATTAAATATATATTTTTGAACTAGGGCTCATTTAGTTATCTTAGCAAACTAATTATTATGGAGCCACAAAAATTATAGTGAGCACCTAATAATGTTAGGAACTTACTGTAAAAATTTCAGAGCCAACACAATCACCAATTTATCACAACAATTCCTACAAGTTTATGTCTTACAATATTAAGCATCTCAAATTAATTATATAACTCGTAAAAATATTATGAAACTATGTGAACAAAATATACTAGCAGATAGATCATGATTTTAGGAACTTAACAAAATTAGTTTCACCATTTTCGGTTAACTACACAATTTTATATTGCATTTACAAGTTTACCTTAGAAACTAAATTAGAAAATATTTAGAAAAGGAAAAGGGCCGGTGGCAACTATTTGGCCCAGCAGCCTGGCGGCCCAGTGCGGGGCGTGGCCACGCGTGAGACGACCCACGGCGGGGAGCCCGTGCTGGCACTTTAGCGAATGAGCCCTCGGACTTTTCCCGAACCACGACTAGGTCCTAATACTATTTCTTTCTTTCTCTGACGAATTCACTTAACCCCCTGGATTTTTCCAAATTTCTCCGCGCACACCCCCGGCCACCCCGTGCACAGTGGCGCGGCGAGCGGCGGCACTAGGCGTCCACGCCGACCACCAGAGGCCTGTGCGGACCCATTTAGCGGGTCGGTCGCCATCTACGGCTAAACGCGCAAGGATGCACGGCGGTTAGGGACTTAGAGATGCACTGGCATGAGCTGTAACGGCGAGCGACTATCCGCGGCGGCGGCACGTCCATGCCGACGACCTACGGCACCATCGGAGGAAAGGGGTTAGCGAATAAGCACCAGTAGCTCACCGGGATTCGAGCTGCGGTGGCGGCTGAGGCGGAGGGGTGCCGAGATGGCCTGGCCATGTGTGACCGATCCACGCAGCGGCGTTTCGAGCACGGCACCGTCGCGTCACTGCACCGATGGTGAGCTTTCTGGCCAAAGCCGTGCGAGCACCAGAGGGCGTGAGTCAAGACGAGTTTAGAGCCACAAGCAATTGAACTATTACTGCTCCAATCCTACCTCTCTCCCCAGTCCAAGGTCACGGCGATGAACATGGCCCACGACGAACTGATCACCGAATCATCGCGGCGTAGGACTCTACCGTGGCCAGATGTGGTTGAGGCGGCTAGCTAGCTCTCCCTGCTACTTACTGACGTGAGGAGATGGGCTGAGAAACCATGGGCTAGGAAAATTTGAAAGGCGGGGCGTGGTGCCTAGGCTGAGACCATGTCGTGGGGAAAAGCATGCGTATGAGCTCGAGCGGTAGGGCGTGTTAAAGCGGGACTCCGATCGGCGGTGGCAGAGCGAGCTTGTGCACACAGGTGACGAGACCGTGGAGGGCTTAGCGCGACGCGCTTGAATTAGAGCGGTCTGACCCGAGCAGGTCGCACCGGCGTCCGCTAGCGGTGCGGGACAGGGAAATGTCTCATCACCACAGTGCCCGGGGTCGTCGACGTAGACACGGCGACAGCACCACATGTCAGAGGCTCGACGCGATAGGTAGGACGAAGGGTGGGGCGAGCACCACGTTGTCAAGGTGGCGACCGCCGTAGCTCCACCACGATGCGCACGGCTCGGTGGCCGGACGTTGGTGCGCGCAGACCATGGC